CATGTTAGCATGTGATGCTACTGTACATGTTAGCATCTGATGCTACTGTACATGTTAGCATGTGATGCTACTGTACATGTTAGCATCTGATGCTACTGTACATGTTAGCATCTGATGCTACTGTAAATGTTAGCATCTGATGCCACTGTACATGTTAGCATGTGATGCTACTGTACATGTTAGCATGTGATGCTACTGTACATGTTAGCATGTGATGCTACTGTACATGTTAGCATGTGATGCTACTGTACATGTTAGCATATGATGCTACTGTACATGTTAGCATCTGATGCTACTGTAGATGTTAGCATAAGATGCTACTGTACATGTTAGCATGTGATGCTACTGTACATGTTAGCATATGATGCTACTGTACATGTTAGCATCTGATGCTACTGTAGATGTTAGCATCTGATGCTACTGTACATGTTAGCATGTGATGTTAGCGTACATGTTAGCGTACATGTTAGCATGTGATGCTACCGTACATGTTAGCATAAGATGCTACTGTACATGTTAGCATGTGATGCTACTGTAGATGTTAGCATATGATGCTACTGTACATGTTAGCATAGGATGCAACTGTAGATGTTAGCATGTGATGCTACTGTACATGTTAGCATGTGATGCTACTGTACATGTTAGCATGTGATGCTACTGTAGATGTTAGCATATGATGCTACTGTACATGTTAGCATAGGATGCTACTGTAGATGTTAGCATGTGATGCTACTGTACATGTTAGCATAGGATGCTACTGTACATGTTAGCATAAGATGCTACTGTACATGTTAGCATGTGATGCTACTGTACATGTTAGCATGTGATGCTACTGTACATGTTAGCATGTGATGCTACTGTACATGTTAGTATGTGATGCTAAGGTACATGTTAGCATGTAATGCTACTGTACATGTTAGCATGTGATGCTACTGTACATGTTAGCATGTGATGCTACTGTACATGTTAGCATATGATGCTACTGTACATGTTAGCATCTGATGCTACTGTAGATGTTAGCATAAGATGCTACTGTACATGTTAGCATGTGATGCTACTGTACATGTTAGCATATGATGCTACTGTACATGTTAGCATCTGATGCTACTGTAGATGTTAGCATCTGATGCTACTGTACATGTTAGCATGTGATGTTAGCGTACATGTTAGCGTACATGTTAGCATGTGATGCTACCGTACATGTTAGCATAAGATGCTACTGTACATGTTAGCATGTGATGCTACTGTAGATGTTAGCATATGATGCTACTGTACATGTTAGCATAGGATGCAACTGTAGATGTTAGCATGTGATGCTACTGTACATGTTAGCATGTGATGCTACTGTACATGTTAGCATGTGATGCTACTGTAGATGTTAGCATATGATGCTACTGTACATGTTAGCATAGGATGCTACTGTAGATGTTAGCATGTGATGCTACTGTACATGTTAGCATAGGATGCTACTGTACATGTTAGCATAAGATGCTACTGTACATGTTAGCATGTGATGCTACTGTAAATGTTAGCAGGTGATGCTACTGTAGATGTTAGCATATGATGCTACTGTACATGTTAGCATAGGATGCAACTGTAGATGTTAGCATGTGATGCTACTGTACATGTTAGCATAGGATGCTACTGTAGATGTTAGCATGTGATGCTACTGTACATGTTAGCATAGGATGCAACTGTAGATGTTAGCATGTGATGCTACTGTACATGTTAGCATAGGATGCTACTGTAGATGTTAGCATGTGATGCTACTGTACATGTTAGCATAGGATGCTACTGTACATGTTAGCATGTGATGCCACTGTACATGTTAGTATGTGATGTTAGCGTACATGTTAGCATGTGATGCTACCGTACATGTTAGCATGTGATGCTACTGTACATGTTAGCATGTGATGCTACTGTACATGTTAGCATATGATGGTATTGTAAATGTTAGCATGTGATGCTACTGTACATGTTAGCATGTGATGCTACTGTACATGTTAGCATGTGATGCTACTGTACATGTTAGCATGTGATGCTACTGTACATGTTAGCATGTGATGCTACTGTACATATTAGCATGTGATGCTACTGTACATGTTAGCATGTGATGCTACTGTACATGTTAGCATGTGATGCTACTGTACATGTTAGCATGTGATGCTACTGTACATGTTAGCATGTGATGCTACTGTACATGTTAGCATGTGATGCTACTGTACATATTAGCATGTGATGCTACTGTACATGTTAGCAGGTGATGCTACTGTACATGTTAGCATGTGATGCTACTGTACATGTTAGCATAGGATGCTACTGTAGATGTTAGCATGTGATGCTACTGTACATGTTAGCATAGGATGCAACTGTAGATGTTAGCATGTGATGCTACTGTACATGTTAGCATAGGATGCTACTGTAGATGTTAGCATGTGATGCTACTGTACATGTTAGCATAGGATGCTACTGTACATGTTAGCATGTGATGCCACTGTACATGTTAGTATGTGATGTTAGCGTACATGTTAGCGTACATGTTAGCATGTGATGCTACCGTACATGTTAGCATAAGATGCTACTGTACATGTTAGCATGTGATGCTACTGTACATGTTAGCATGTGATGCTACTGTACATGTTAGCATGTGATGCTACTGTACATGTTAGCATGTGATGCTACTGTAAATGTTAGCATGTGATGCTACTGTACATGTTAGCATGTGATGCTACTGTACATGTTAGCATGTGATGCTACTGTACATGTTAGCATGTGATGCTACTGTACATGTTAGCATGTGATGCTACTGTACATGTTAGCATGTGATGCTACTGTACATGTTAGCATGTGATGCTACTGTACATGTTAGCATGTGATGCTACTGTACATGTTAGCATGTGATGCTACTGTACATGTTAGCATGTGATGCCACTGTACATGTTAGCATCTGATGCTACTGTACATGTTAGCATGTGATGCTACTGTACGTGTTAGCATGTGATGCTACTGTAAATGTTAGATGTCTAGAGAGATGTTTGTCCATTAGCCTCTTGTCTTTGTCAGATGGATGTGTCCACATAGTTTCTGTGTGTCCACATGGTCTCTATGTCAGATGTGTGTGTCCACATGGTCTCTGTGTGTCCACATGGTGTCTGTGTGTCCACATGGTCTCAGATGTGTGTGTCCACATGGTCTCTGTGTGTCCACATGGTGTCTGGGTCCACATGGTCTCTGTGTGTCCACATGGTCTCTGTGTGTCCACATGGTCTCTGTGTCCACATGGTCTCTGTGTGTCCACATGGTCTCTGTGTGTCCACATGGTCTCTGTGTGTCCACATGGTCTCTGTGTGTCCACATGGTCTCTGTGTCCACATGGTCTCTGTGTGTCCACATGGTCTCTCTGTGTCCACATGGTCTCTGTGTGTCCACATGGTCTCTGTGTGTCCACATGGTCTCTGTGTGTCCACATGGTGTCTGGGTCCACATGGTCTCTGTGTGTCCACATGGTCTCTGTGTGTCCACATGGTCTCTGTGTGTCCACATGCTCTCTGTGTGTCCACATGGTCTCTGTGTGTCCACATGGTCTCTGTGTGTCCACATGGTCTCTGTGTGTCCACATGGTCTCTGTGTGTCCACATGGTCTCTGTGTGTCCACATGGTCTCTGTGTGTCCACATGGTCTCTCTGTGTCCACATGGTCTCTGTGTGTCCACATGGTCTCTGTGTCCACATGGTCTCTGTGTGTCCACATGGTCTCTGTGTGTCCACATGGTCTCTGTGTCCACATGGTCTCTGTGTGTCCACATGGTCTCTGTGTGTCCACATGGTCTCTGTGTGTCCACATGGTCTCTGTGTGTCCACATGGTCTCTGTGTGTCCACATGGTCTCTGTGTGTCCACATGGTCTCTGTGTGTCCACATGGTCTCTGTGTGTCCACATGGTGTCTGTGTGTCCACATGGTCTCTGTGTGTCCACATGGTCTCTGTGTGTCCACATGGTATCTGTGTGTCCACATGGTCTCTGTGTCCACATGGTCTCTGTGTGTCCACATGGTGTCTGTGTGTCCACATGGTCTCTGTGTGTCCACATGGTCTCTGTGTGTCCACATGGTCTCTGTGTGTCCACATGGTCTCTGTGTGTCCACATGGTCTCTGTGTGTCCACATGGTCTCTGTGTGTCCACATGGTCTCTGTGTCCACATGGTCTCTGTGTGTCCACATGGTCTCTGTGTGTCCACATGGTCTCTGTGTGTCCACATGGTCTCTGTGTCCACATGGTCTCTGTGTCCACATGGTCTCTGTGTGTCCACATGGTCTCTCTGTGTCCACATGGTCTCTGTGTGTCCACATGGTCTCTGTGTGTCCACATGGTCTCTGTGTGTCCACATGGTGTCTGGGTCCACATGGTCTCTGTGTGTCCACATGGTCTCTGTGTGTCCACACGGTCTCTGTGTGTCCACATGGTCTCTGTGTGTCCACATGGTCTCTGTGTGTCCACATGGTCTCTGTGTGTCCACATGGTCTCTGTGTGTCCACATGGTCTCTGTGTGTCCACATGGTCTCTGTGTGTCCACATGGTCTCTCTGTGTCCACATGGTCTCTGTGTGTCCACATGGTCTCTGTGTCCACATGGTCTCTGTGTGTCCACATGGTCTCTGTGTGTCCACATGGTCTCTGTGTCCACATGGTCTCTGTGTGTCCACATGGTCTCTCTGTGTCCACATGGTCTCTGTGTGTCCACATGGTCTCTGTGTGTCCACATGGTCTCTGTGTGTCCACATGGTCTCTGTGTGTCCACATGGTCTCTGTGTGTCCACATGGTCTCTGTGTCCACATGGTCTCTGTGTGTCCACATGGTGTCTGGGTCCACATGGTCTCTGTGTGTGTCCACATGGTCTCTGTGTGTCCACATGGTCTCTGTGTGTCCACATGGTCTCTGTGTGTCCACATGGGTCTGTGTGTCCACATGGTCTCTCTAACTGCTGCTGTGTTGTGTTCTCAGATCTCTGTGATCTCACTCTGGATCCAAACTCCGCTCACACAAACCTCAAACTGTCTGACAACAACAAGAAGGTGACACATGTGAGGGAGCAGCAGCTCTATCCAGAGCACCAGGACAGATTTGACTCATGGTGTCAGATCATGTGTTCATCTGGTCTGACTGGTCGCTGGTACTGGGAGGTCCAGTGGAGCGGAAAGGTTTATATATCAGTGAGTTACAGAAACATCCAGAGGAAAGGAGACAGTGATGACTGTCTGTTTGGATTCAACCCTCAGTCCTGGAGTCTGAGCTGCTCTGAACATGGTTTCTCTGTTTATCATAATAACACCGACACCCCCCTCCCTCAGTCCAGGTCCTGGACCTCCTCCTCTGGGACAGTGGGAGTCTTGGTGGACTGTCCTGCTGGGTCTCTGTCCTTCTACACAGTCTCCTCTGAGAGACTGATCCACCTCCACACCTTCAGAACCACCTTCTCTCAGTCTCTGGTCCCTGGGTTTAGGCTCCTGACTGAAGACTCCTCAGTGTCTCTGTGTCCTGGGTCTGAGTGAAACTCTGTCTCCTTCTGTTCATGTGTTAACTCTGTGGGGTCGGTCTCCTTCTGTTCATGTGTTTAACTCTGTGGGGTCGGTCTCCTTCTGGTCATGTGTTTAACTCTGTGGGGTCGGTCTCCTTCTGTTCATGTGTGTAACTCTGTGGGGTCGGTCTCCTTCTGTTCATGTGTTTAACTCTGTGGGGTCGGTCTCCTTCTGTTCATGTGTTGAACTCTGTGGGATCGGTCTCCTTCTGTTCATGTGTGTAACTCTGTGGGATCGGTCTCCTTCTGGTCATGTGTTTAACTCTGTGGGGTCGGTCTCCTTCTGTTCATGTGTGTAACTCTGTGGGATCGGTCTCCTTCTGTTCATGTGTTTAACTCTGTGGGGTCGGTCTCCTTCTGTTCATGTGTTGAACTCTGTGGGGTCGGTCTCCTTCTGTTCATGTGTTTAACTCTGTGGGGTCGGTCTCCTTCTGTTCATGTGTTTAACTCTGTGGGGTCGGTCTCCTTCTGTTCATGTGTTTAACTCTGTGGGGTCGGTCTCCTTCTGGTCATGTGTTTAACTCTGTGGGGTTGGTCTCCTTCTGTTCATGTGTTTAACTCTGTGGGGTCGGTCTCCTTCTGTTCATGTGTTTAACTCTGTGGGGTCGGTCTCCTTCTGTTCATGTGTTTAACTCTGTGGGATCGGTCTCCTTCTGTTCATGTGTTTAACTCTGTGGGGTCGGTCTCCTTCTGTTCATGTGTTTAACTCTGTGGGATCGGTCTCCTTCTGGTCATGTGTTTAACTCTGTGGGGTCGGTCTCCTTCTGGTCATGTCTGTTGAATGTGTTATTATTGTAGGAGGTGCAGTGGGATCTGAGGGAGCAAACCTGTGTGTGTTAAATGTATAAATGTTCATTGTTTGAATTGTGTTGTATTATATGTATTGTGTTTGTTTTATGTTCATGGGACCCTCTGGAAAATGAGATGCTGCGTCTCAAGAGGTTTTCCATAAATAAATCAAATCAAACACCCAACTGTCAGAGAATTCTCTTTTGTTCATCAGTTCATGGTTCATATTCACGCATGGATTTGTATCTAAGCAGTAATTCAATAATCTCAAATATCTCTGATCATCAAATCCACCCCATCATCATCAGTGACCATGCCCCAGTATCATTCAAATGGAACCCACCAAGACCACACAAACCAGCCACCAGATGGCGCTTTAACACATCCCTCCTGAAAGACCCTGAATTTAACAACCTCATCCAACGAGAGTGGGTATCCTTCCTGGAAATAAATGATTCCCCAAAGCCATCCCCCGCACTTCTATGGGAAACAGGTAAAGCATCAGAGGAATTATCATTTCATATTCAGCCTATAAGAAAAAGAAAGAAAACAAACATTACAAGAAGAAGTCAAACAGCTAGAAACTGTCAATGCAAATAATCCAACAGAAGAAAAGCAGAAGACATTAAGAAAAGATCAAGTAGAAATAAATGAAATAAATGTAATCTTCAGAGAGTCTTATGCCGACCTGTATTCCTCAGATGATACCCCTGAGGAAGAAGACATCAGAGCATTTCTCTCCAGCCTCAATCCACCCCAACTCTCTCCTGAACAAAAAAACACATTAGACACACCCCTAACAACTGAAGGAATCCAATCTGCCCTCAATAAAAGGCCTAACCATAAAGCACCCGGTCCTGATGGCTTCCCTGCTGAGTTCTACAAACACTTCTGCTCCATCTTTGCTTCACTTTTCCACAGAATAACAACAGAAATGCAACAAAGCTCCAGATTTCCACCCAACATGAACACAGCATCTATCTCACTGCTTCTTCAACCACACAAAGACCCTTCAAGATCCCATTTCACTTCTCAACGTTCACATTGAAATCATCACCATCACCATAGACCGTCGTGAGACAGGTTAGTTTTACCCTACTGATGATGTGTTGTTGCAATAGTAATCCTGCTCAGTACGAGAGGAACCGCAGGTTCAGACATTTGGTGCATGTGCTTGGCTGAGGAGCCACTGGTGCGAAGCTACCATCTTTGGGATTATGACTGAACGCCTCTAAATCAGAATCCCGCCTAGACGTAACGATACCGTAGCGCTGCGGATCTTCGAGTGGTCCAGGATAGCCGGCCCGCGTGGGTCGGTGGGCAGAGCCGTTTGTGACGGGGCCGGGGCGCGGCCAACAAGGGTCGCCCCTCTCCCATCTCGCTAACTCATGTGGGTTACATCTTCCCCCCGTGATCCCATGTACGTCCTCGGCCATGGACCAGGCTGGCAGTGGACAACTGGCTGACTCCAGATCCATATCCTCATCCTCCTGAAGAGCGAAGGTAAAAGCAGAACTCAGACCGTGCAACAGACTTTGGATGCTCTTTAGAAATGGCTGACCCGGTCGTGAATATTGTAAGCGGTCAGGTGGATGCCGTGAACGGGCTGAACGACGCACCGGTTCAGGACTTGCCGAGTCCAGAGGCACTGTTGACTGGGTCTGAAAGAGGAGAGGTACTCCTTTCCAAACTGGAGTCTTCAACAGAATGGACAGGTTTAGCAGGTATCGGGTCAGATGAGACATCATCTTGGTCCACTGCATCCATAGCTGGAGTTTCTTTGGCAACAACTGGAGTGTCAACTGTAAAAACACCTTCATCACCATGTGTTGGGGTGATTGGCAAAGGAAGAATATTAACAGACTGTGGTGCAGTTGGAAGGTCAAGTATTTGTGAAAATCTGAAAGGTTCGATCGGAGATGGAACACAGTTAATCAAAACATCCTCGTCATCAGAAACTGGATCAGGATCGGAAGGCGGCAAGGTAAGTAGCTTTTCTCTTTTCTTCACGGGTAGGTCTTTCTCCTGAACAGGTAGGTACCCACAGGGAAGGAGAAGGTCTCTATGCAGAGTTCGCAAAGGCTTAACTTTCCCTTCTGGTTTGACTGTGTAAACGGGAAGACTACCGGCTTTCTTCACTACTATATACACATGGGGTTCCCATTTATCAGCTTACTTGTGCTTACCCCTGAGACGCACATTCCTCACCAGGACTCGGCCACCAATACTCATTATAGATGGGGTCACATGTCGATCAAAGCGGAGCTTGTTCCGTTCCATAACTTTCCGAGAATTTTCAATGGCCAGTTGATAACGCTCTTCAAGTTGAGACTTTAGTTTTTGGACATACTTTGAATGAGGGTCGGGTCTGTCGTCATTCAGTGGGAGTCCAAAAGCGAGGTCGACGGGAAGTCTGGGTTGGAGGCCAAACATTAGCTCATACGGAGAAAATCCTGTAACGTCATTCTTTGTGCAATTATAAGCGTGAACGAGTGGTTTTACAAAGTCTTTCCAGTGATGTTTCTCTTGTTCTGTTAATATTCCGAGCATGTCCAGCAATGTTCTATTGAAACGCTCCACCGGGTTTCCTCTGGGATGATAGGGAGTGGTTCGAGTCTTATGAATTCCAGCCATTCGACAAAGTTCTTGGATGACTTTCGATTCAAAATCCTGTCTTTGGACGTGACTTCCTGTATCCGGTGAGCGTGTTTCTTGACTGCTATCACTCTGCTCTCTGTTTGCACTAACAAACACATTACAAATCCACATATTGTACACCAAGCTAACTGTGTAAGCACTCCGAGTCAGCTGTACTGCAGCTGAGGTTTAGGTAGCGGTTGTTTGTCTGGTCTCGGAGTCTGTTGTGCGGGCCCGGATCCGGACTAGCTTAGCCTAGCCTAGCCGCTAACTCGCTACTCCTATGGCGGCTGCTGTCTCTCCCTCAGTCCTTTACTGCTCGAGTTGCCATATGGTGAGTCTAAACCCTGGATCCTTCTCTGAGGGTAGTGATAGATGTGTGAAGTGTAGTGTAGTCGTAGCTCTGGAATCCAGGGTCAGTGAGTTAGAGCTGCGTCTCCGAGCACTGGAGTCTCGAGCTAGCGCTAGCATTAGCTACAGCCAGGCCGTATCCTCAGGGACAGCGGAGCGCAGCTTTAGGGAAAGGCAGAGGAGAACTAGCGAGCCTAGCCTCCCAGCCCGTCCTCCGCAGCTGGGACAAGACCAGGATAGTGATGGCTTTGTGACTGTTCGGAGAGGCCACGTGTTGTTGGTAGTTTCCCCATTGGGCCTCCTCCTGTTAGCATTTACAATCGCTGGGACGCTCTGTCCGGCTGCGCCCCCGCGCGGCCGGGCGGGGAAGAAGGCCCCACTGAGAGAGCCGCTGAGAGAGCCGCTGAGAGAGCCGCTGAGAGAGCCGCTGAGAGAGCTGCTGAGAGAGCCGCTGAGAGAGCTGCTGAGAGAGCCGCTGAGAGAGCTGCTGAGAGAGCTGCTGAGAGAGCTGCTGAGAGAGCCGATGGAGTCGCTGATGCGCTGGTAATTGGCTCCTCTATTGTTAGAGGTGTTAAGATCCCAGGAGCCACTGTTCGGTGCTTCCCTGGGGCCAGGCTTGGTGATATTGAAGGGAATCTGAGGCTCATGATGACCCACAAGCAGCGTTTCCGTCGAATTGTTATTCACTTGGGTGGTAATGACGTTCGGCGGAAACAGTCCGAGGTGTTGAAGCTGCAAGTCGCCGCAGTGTGCAAGCTGGCTAGCACAATGGCCGACACTGTCATCTTCTCTGGGCCCCTACCTAGCACTAGCAGTGCAGAAGCATTCAGCAGACACTCGGCTTTCAACCGCTGGCTGTCTGGCTGGTGCCCTCCAAGTGGTGTTGTTCATGTTGACAATTGGAGTGCCTTTTGGGGAAAGCCCGGTCTCATCCGCTCGGATGATATCCACCCAACGTTGGCGGGTACATCCCTTTTGGCTAAGAATTTGGCCCTGGCTCTAAATTGTTCTGCCCGGCTCAAATGACGGTGCAGAACTGAGGCCCGGGTGCAGAGCTGCTCTGCCACAACCTCTGAGCCCCCATCTGTTCAGTTACTAGCCTCAGAAGCTAGTCAGATTGAAACTGTGTGTGTGTGTGTGTGTGTGCCTGTGTGTGCTCAGTTACTAGCCTCAGAAGCTAGTCAGATTGAAACTGTGTGTGTTCCTCGCTTGAAGTCTAAAGCACTATATGAGGAAATCTGACCTAGGTGTCAGACACAGTAACTTAATAAAAGTTCAGACAGACAGAAATAGTTCTAACAGTAGGGTTGTTAAATGTGGTTTAATGAACGTCAGATCAATCTCGTCTAAATCGCTTCTCATAAACAAACTTATTATAGACAAGGGCTTGGATCTGTTTGCGCTCTCGGAGACTTGGCTCCAACAGGACGACTACGTTAGATTGAATGAGTGCACTCCTCCGACGCATGTTAACTACCAGAAAGCCAGAGCTACAGGTCGCGGCGGTGGTGTTGCGATTATATCACACACCAACTTGGTTCTTAGTCCCAAAACCAACAACGCTTTTCACTCGTTTGAAAACTTAACACTTTCAATCACCTGTCCTGGGTGGAGAAAACAAAAAGCGGTGCTATTTATAGTTTTATACCGACCTCCTGGTCCTTACAGCGAGTTCCTAACAGAATTCTCTGACTTCATTTCAAACCTAGTTTTGGAATGGGAAAACATAGTTATAGCTGGAGACTTCAATATACATGTGGACGACAGCACTGACAGCTTAAACAAAGCTTTCAGCGCCGTACTAGATGGTGTTGGTTTTACTCAGAATGTCGAGGAACCTACTCACATTCATAACCACACCTTGGACCTTGTCCTGACCTACGGCTGTGATGTCTCCAATGTTGACATCCAGCGTCAAAGCTCGTTGCTGTCTGACCATTTCTTGATCACGTTTGATCTCGCTTTGGAGGACTTTCCTGTCCCGCAAGATAAAACCATAATGAAAAGAACCTTAAATGATAAATCTATCACAAGCTTCAAAGAACTAATACAGCCTATGTTGAATACTGCTGCAGGTGAACCTGTTCACAGCTGCTGCAGTCCCTCAGTCATTGACCAAACGGTGGGCAACACTATGGAGTCTTTCAAAATCTGCATTAAATGCAGCAGCTCCTTTAAAACAGAAAACTATTAGGATTAGATCATCGTCGCCCTGGTACAGTGTTCAACTCCACACTTTAAAACAGGACGTCAGAAAATTGGAGAGGCTATATCGCCACTCCCACTCGGAGCCTGTCCACAGGGAGTGGAAAGCAGGTCTCCGAAACTACAAGAAGGCCCTTCGCGGGGCTCGAACTCAATACTATTCAACTTTAATAGAAGCCAATAAAAACAACAGTAGATTTTTGTTTAGCACCGTCGCTAAACTCACAAACTGCCATAGCGCAATCGAGCCTAAAATTCCAAGCTCACTGAGCAGTGTCGACTTTCTCCACTTCTTTAATAATAAAATGACATCCATCCGTGACAAGCTGGAGGAGGTTGCTCCTGCTGTTGGTAGTGGACAGGCTGAAGCGGCATATGTGACTTCCCACTTAGACTCTTCAGTGGGCCTCGATAAATTCATGGCTGTGAGCCAAGCAGAGGTGATCTCTGTGGTCACATCCTCAAAAGCCTCAACTTGCATGTTAGACGCAGTCCCGACATGGCTCTTCAAAGACATACTTCCTTTGATAATTGAGCCTATCGTATATATAATAAACGCATCCATACAATGTGGCTATGTCCCACAAGCTTTTAAAACCGCGGTAATCAAACCCCTTCTGAAGAAAACAAACCTGGACCCAGAAATACTTACAAACTACAGACCGATCTCAAACCTCACTTTCATATCTAAAATCCTGGAAAAACTTATAGCTGAGCAGCTTCGCTGCCACCTGCAGGAAAATAATATGTTTGAAGTCTTTCAATCAGGATTCAGAGCTCATCATAGCACTGAAACGGCACTAGTCAAAGTCACAAATGACTTACTACTAGCTGCTGATAATGGACAAGTGTCAGTGCTGGTCCTACTGGACCTTAGTGCTGCATTTGACACAATAGACCACAGCATTCTACTGCAGAGGCTAGAATGTGATATAGGTCTTAGAGGAACAGCCCTTGGCTGGTTTAAATCCTATTTATCAGATCGGTATCACTTCGTCAACGTAAATCAGAACTCGTCGCCTTATTCTGGAGTAGAATTCGGTGTGCCGCAGGGTTCGGTACTCGGACCGATTCTTTTCACTCTCTACATGCTGCCATTGGGAAACATTATTAAAAAGCATGGAATTAATTTCCACTGCTGCAGATGACACACAGCTTTATCTGTCGATGAAGCCTAATCAGACAGATCAGC